AAGGTCTGTTTAGGTTTTTTATAGATAAAGGATGAGACAAAAATAATATACACATAATCTTAAAATTTTTATGGTCACAGTTTCGTCAACTAGTTTAAGGAACAAAATATAAATCTAGTCAATGTCTATGTGAAAATATTTGGTTCTTTACCTAAACCTTATCTACATAGTACATGATAATTAAAAGTATCAGACTGGTGAAACTAAATTTAGTGGATGTTTAACAGCCATACTTTAAGGCCTATGCTATGTGGTCAGAGGGACTTAAAGGACCATGTTTGTCCCTTGCCTTCCAAGGTCGACCAAGTTCCAGGGGACTATGGAACATCTCTCAAAATGGCCTGTAACTGTGGTGAGTCACCTGTCCTCTTGTTCAGGGAGGACATGGAGACCCCATGAGATGGACTTGAACCAGTGTCCAGTCTACAAAGAGGAGGGTCAACTCAGAGGAAACATCTCATTCACGCTTCCAAGTGAGGCCAGACATAGTCGAGCAGGACCTTTGATTTACCTTCACACAGAATGAACTGGTAAAAGAAAGGAGCCAGGGGCTCCTCCCAAGCCCATGTGACCCCTGAGGAACAGATCCTCAAACGACCTTAAGTGTAAAAATAAATTTATTTATTTGGGCCAACTGTATGGTATTAAACACCCAAAAGGAAAGTATAACCAAAGAGTAAAGTCATCACCATATTTCTTTAAGAGTTCAAGGGATTACGCTTCCCAGACATTAGGCTTAAGTCCACATAAAAAGTTATTTAGACAATTATTTCTCATTGATGAGTTTGTTCCTAATCAGAAAGTGCTGCTCAGATGTAAGACTTCAAATCTTGGTCTGCAATACTAAGGGAGATAACCCGCTATTGTTCTGAAATGATGGATGAAATTTTTTCTCCCCCTATATAGAAGCCTTAGAGAGGGAACCAACACTGATTCTAACCACTCCAACAGCTATCGAAATACCTGAAAGCAATTCCTGAATCCATCACTCTCGAGTCTAGCCTTGGCAGACAAAAGAAAAATGAGGAAGAACCTAATAGAAGGATGCTTTTGGATACCCTTGTTAAGAAATTCCAATGGACTCTCATATGAACATTTGAAAATTGCTCTGTTCTTTTTTCTAGTTCCTCTAGAACTTGTAATGCTAATTACTCTTGCCTTTACTTCTCCTTCACATCTCCTATTTACCAGCCAAGGACCTTCTTTTCTCCCTACAGATAAGAGTTATGCAATTTGTGAGTCTTTTAGATAGACCCACTGAAGGGATATCCCAATTGCCTCGCCCTGCGCCCCTGTTCAGCATGGAAGAATCCAGAGCAGTCTGCGTACGGATTTCCTATCAGCAATTTGGGTAACCTCTTCAGAGGATGGCATGATAAGACTAAGAGGTAGGAATTGGCTAGGCAGTTAGGGTAAAAAGACCCCAAACAAAAGTAGCCAGTTTCTTGGCTAAAAGTCAAAATGTCCTTGGGCCTGTTAGCAACATACTCTGTTCCGAAGGCCAAAAATGTCAAAAGTATTTGGGAGCTCTTGTCTAATACCTAAAAGATTTTAGAGTTACCTCTTCA